GTAGGTCAGGCCAATCAGAAGTAGTGTGTCACAAAAGTTTACTTCATTTACATGGTAGTCAACCGAATCGAGACAGTAACCAGAGGCCGGGCGTGGTGGCTCACGCCTGTAATCCTAGCACTCTGGGAGGCCGAGGCGGGGCAGATTGCTCGAGGTCAGGAGTTTGAAATCAGCCTGAGCAAGAGTGAGACCCTCTCTACTATAAATAGAAGAAATTAATTGGCCAACTAATATATATAGAAAAAATTAGCGGGCATGGTGGCGCATGGCCTGTAGTCCAGCTACTTGGGAGGCTGAGGGCAGAGGATCGTTGAGCCCAGGAGTTTGAGGTTGCTGTGGAGCTAGGCTGAGCCACGGCACTCACTCTAGGCTGGGCAACAAAGCGAGACTCTGTCTCAAAAAAAAAAAAAAAGAAGTATGACCCCAAATCACCTCATCAGCTATGCGTATTAGTAGCTGCTCAATTTAGGAGCGGGATAAGCTAAGCTGGCAGGTTTTGGTGGAACACCCTGACATTCCCCCCTTTCGATGCTTCTTTTACTTCTAGACAGGAGCATCAACTTCTAAGGGATTACTACTTAAGGGGTGATAGCCCCATAGGGCCATTATATGGGCTGGGGCCCTTTGAGTTACTGTTGTCTCTATAAACTTTATTAGGGTGCTGAGTAGGCATGGGCCTATAGTTACCAAGAGGAAGATTGTTATCAGTGGTCTTGCCAAAGGAAGTAAGAGGTCCATTGTCCCAGATCAAGGCCCCATCCTGAGTCTGTTTTTGCTTTTTCTCTTTCGAAGCCTCTCTTTCAGTTTCCTTATTGGGCAGTGACGACCCCTGACTGATTTACATAGTAACAGCACTCTTTTCCAAGAATACACAAGTTCCCCCCTTTTCTGCAGTGAGGAGATGGAGTGCCCGCCTATTTTGCAGCGCGACCGCTGTCAGTGAGTCTAGCTGGCTCTGGAGGGATAACAAGGAATCTGCTATCTGTCCCATGTCTTTAGTTAAGTTCTCGGGATAGCTTGTAGTACAAACCTAATGAGGTCCCCAGGCCGGCGGTTCCTGTTTCTATGCCGGCTGCTATCCCTCCTCCTATGAGCAATGAGGCTAGTAGGGCACGTTTGCTCTGGGGTTGGCTTAACCGGAACACTAACTCCTCCTCCTGAAAGACAGAGACATCTGGGGTAAGGAAAGTGGACATGCAAGTGCCTGTCCAGTGGCTGGGTAGGCGTAGGTAGGCGGTGGCTCCACAGAGGAGGAACAATCCCTCCGGGGCACAGGTGGTACAATGTTTGGATAAGGTCAGATTACAGGAACTTATTTTCTGGGGCAACCCACAAACGTCCTATATAGCCAAAATAAAAGGCAACCAGGGCATATCTTTGCAGTTTAGTCCAGTCTTTTGGAGCCACAGCCCAGAGTCCCAGTCCCAAAAGGATGGTCAGCAAGCAGTCCAACAATGATTCGAGTCAATGTCAGCAGTCCCATTCAGCTTTTCCCTTTCCTGTCCGTCTCGGCGGAGTTTGGTCTGGCAGGTTGTCATCTGAGTTGGAGTTTTAGCGGGTTTTGTGGGTCTGGTCTCGCTGTCCAAGGTCAGGTCGCGTTGTCCGTCTCAGCTCGCTTTACTCGGGTGTGGTGGATCTATGGTGTTGTACCTGCAAATGTATGGACAGGAGCAGGTTTGCGATGACGACGGTGGGAAGAGGATGGAACCTCGGTTGGAAGTGGGCTTGCAGCAAGTGATGTTGGAGAAGCTGGGCTTCTAGAAGCGGGTTGTTGTCACCGCTCTGTGTGATATCCAGGGAGCCCTCCTTGGGGAAGTCGCCTTCGATATGAATCTGTTTTTTTTTTTTTCGAGACAGAGTCTCACTTTGTTGCCCAGGCTAGAGTGAGTGCCGTGGCATCAGCCTAGCTCACAACAACCTCAATCTCCTGGGCTCAAGCAATCCTCCTGCCTCAGCCTCCCAAGTAGCTGGGACTACAGGCACGAGCCACCATGCCTGGCTAATTTTTTCTATATATATTAGTTGGCCAATTAATTTCTTTCTATTTATAGTAGAGACGGGGTCTTGCTTAGGCTGGTTTCAAACTCCTGACCTCAAGCAATCCGCCCGCCTCGGCCTCCCAGAGTGCTAGGATTACAGGCGTGAGCCACCGCGCCCGGCCCATACGAATCTCTTAAGGGGGTGAACCCCAAGGTCCTGAGGAACATGCGCTTTGCCAAGAAGCACAACAAGAAGGGCCTGAAGAAGATGCAGGGCAACAATGCCAAGGCCATGAGTGCACGTGCTGAAGCTATCAAGGCCCTCATAAAGCCCAAGGAGGTTAAGGCTACGATCCTAAAGGGCATGAACCGCAAGCTCAGTCACCTTGCCAACACTGCCCACCCCAAGATTGGGAAGTGTGCTCGTGAGCCCAGTGCCAAGGGTCTCAGGCTCTGCCCACCAAAGGCCAAAGTTCAAACCAAGGCCCAGTCCACGTCTTCAGCTGCAGCACCAGCTTCAGTTCCAGCTCCAGCTCAGGCTCCCAAAGGTGCCCAGGCCCCCGAGAAGGCTCCAGAGTAGAGGCCTCTGTCTGCCAACACGAGGACAGAAGGAGTGTGACCCCTGGGCTGCTGTTGCATGGGGCTGGCGTCCTCCTGTACTATTTGTATGAATAAACCTGAGGTAGGATTAAAAAAAAAAGTTCAGAACTCAAAGGGTCCATCTGCCACTATAGAGTTAAAATGAAAAGTTTGTTAAAGTGTCTATCTTTTGCCTGCTGAAGCTGTGTTTGCTAAGTTACAGGTGTTAAGATAAAGCTGTCTGTGTCTATGTTATCAAAAATTCAAGGTCACTTGAAACAACTAGTTCTAGCAACAATGTAAACACTAAGAACTCATTAAAACTAAACTTTGGGGAAAGAGATTTATACCCACGTGACTTCCCCACCCCCTCTCAGTGCTTACTTGCCAGCAGTTGAGCTGATCCCGCAGTTTCTTAGGGAATATGCAGACCACACCTTCCTCAACCTCAACCTTTGAATTTAAAGGGACCTCAACACTTACAGCCTAGAGACTGTGTCTTACGAAGATTTTCCAGAACACACAGGCCTCTTACAATCCTCTTGTAGGGCCCTTTTCAAGTAATTCCTTTTTTTTTTGAGACAGAGTCTCGCTCTGATGCCCGGGCTAGAGTGCCGTGGCATCAGCCTGGCTCACAGCAACCTCGCACTCCTGGGCTCAAGCAATCCTCCTGCCTCAGCCTCCCGAGTAGCTGGGACTACAGGCATACGCCACCATGCCCGACTAATTTTTTCTATATATTTTCAGTTGTACAGCTAATTTCTTTCTATTTTTAGTAGAGATGGGGTCTTGCTCTTGCTCAGGCTGGTTTTGAACCCCTGACCTTGAGTGATCCTCCTGCCTCAGCCTCCCAGAGTGCTAGGTGTAAGGCTGGTGGCGGCCCCCTCCTTTCCCTAGATCAAAAAGCAAAGGCTCAATAGACCAGACCCGCCAAGGACAAAACTGCCAGGCCCCACTGAGAGGAACCACACCCAGATGTCCACCTGGATAAGAACATTTTGGCTCTTGGATTCCACAGATACCTCCAGCCCCTCCTAAAATCCCCAGCTCTTCCCTCCAAAAGTCCCTAGCCAGGCCCAAAGGGTATAAAAGGCCTCAGCCCCTTCAAACAGCGGCAACTTCTGGGGGCCCCCTCTCTTGGGGCCCCAGAACCTCGTCCATGAGTGTATAATACAGCCACGTGGTTTGGCCCCCACTCTTTCTCTCTCTGTGTCTGTCTTTTCTTTTCGCCGCCGCCAAAAAACCTTACACTAGGGTTACAGGCGTGAGCAACCACGCCCAGCCTCAAGTAATTCTTACCACTCCTATGGCAGCTAAACTTCTGGGAATTCCATCCTGGATTCATCTCTTGTGGTGCAAATCTGTAGATCCACCAGAGGAGCCTTCCTGCACCCACCACAAACTCCTGAGACTCCGCTGAACCACCCCTGCCAGCCCATCTCAGATGCCAGACTCCAATTCACCCGACAAAACACTTCAGAACTGTGAGCTTTAATGATAGTATGCTATGGTATACAATAATTGGAGTGATAGCAGGGCTTGCTACTGACACCACTGTCTTCCTTAATTCAATATTTACAGCACAAAGATTGTCTTTAGAAATAAGCCAAACAGCCATGGACTCAGCCCAACAAATTATTTATTATATTACAGCAACAAATAAATTGCCTGGCAGGAGTTATTTTGCAAAATAAGTGAGCTCTTGATCTCTTAACTGCTAATCGTAGAGGTACATGTGCTATGCTAGAAGATTGCTGTTTCTTTGTTAACCAGTCAGAGAAAATAAAAACTAATAGTTAAGACATTCTAAAAAGAACTAATATAATTCATGAACAAGGAACTTCTGGTGGATTTGACTGGTGGGATTTTAAATCCAATGTGTATACACAAAACAAATTTTCCATAAATAAGAAAAAAAAATAAATAAATCCAATGTGTGGCTGTGGGTCTCTTGGGTAACTCCTTTATTAGGGCCTCCAGTGGTGTTGCTTTTAGCTCTCATTTTGGGATCCTGCATTCTCCTTATGTGGCAACATTCATACAAAGCCGAATTTAAGCTCTACCTGTTTCTCTTCAGTGAAACCCCCATTCTGCCTCCAACCTTACTTTCAAGGCTGTCAGTTACCAAACCCCTCACCCTTTATAACCCAAATGAACTCAGCTCAGGTAAGGGCATCTCAACCTCCATGTCCACAGGAAGCAACTACAGAACGTGAGACTTCTGCCCGTATTTGCCAGATTTTGAGTTCATTAAATAAATTTTTTTTTCTTTTTTACCAAATTGGGGGGGGGAGTAATAAAAGGTGGCCTCACTAATAACCTACCTAACAGAGAAAACTAAACGATCAAACAGAAAGTAAGAGAAATAAACTCATAATACAACTACCTTTTGTTTAATTAAAACACATGTGGCCTAACTTGTTATCTCTGAGTTCTTCCTCAGTCTTGAAGAGCCCTAAGTGGACAGCAAGGATGTGAGCTCCCTGCTCCAACTTTCTGCCTCAGTTCCTGCCAAAAAAACAGATTTCAAGGACTCAGATAACCCAGCCTCACAGAAAAAAAGAAAAATAAAGAACCCTCTGACATCTTGCAGCCACTTTCGTCATCAGCTGGCTGAAGCAAAGAAAAAAAAAGCCATTTTTACTCTTTAAAAACACAGAGCAACCTTTCTGACCACCTAACATTTCTTTCCCCCCTCTCTCTCTTTCACTCTTCCTTCCTTTCTTTCTCAGGGAAATAAATAAACTTTTACTTCTGTATATCCTAGTCACTGTCTGAGAATTCTTTCTCATCCGTTTATGGACTTTACGCCCTAACACAGCGAGCTGTGATCATGCCACTGTACTGCAGCCTGAGCAACAGAGTAAGACCTTGTCTCAAAAAAAAAATCTGTAAAATGGAATTAATAAAGAAGACAAAAGAAAGAAAGAAAAAGAGAGGACGATCACAATAACTACTATTAAGAAAAGGGATGCCGGTCGGGCATGGTGGCTCAGGCCTGTAATCCTAGCACTCTGGGAGGCCGAGGCGAGAGGATTGCTCAAGGTCAGGAGTTTGAAATCAGCTTGAGCAAGAGTAAGACCCCGTCTCTACTAAAAATAGAAAGAAATTAATTAGCCAACTAAAAATATATAGAAAAAATTAGCTGGGCATAGTGGCACATGCTTGTAGTTCCAGCTACTCGGGAGGCTGAGACAGAAGGATTGCTTGAGCCCAAGAGTTTGAGGTTGCTGTGAGCTAGGCTAACACCACAGCACTCTAGCCAGGACAACAGAATGAGACTCTGTCTCAAAAAAAAAAAAAAAAAAAAAAAAGAAAGAAAGAAAAGGGATGCCTCTAGGAAAGTACCATACCATGTTTCCCTCAAAATAAGACCTACCCATAAAATAAGCCCTTGCAGGATTTCTAAGCATTTGCGCAATATAAGCCCTACCCCGAAAATAAGACCTAGTGACGGGCGTGGCTATGCAGTGGATCTGCACAACCCATGCATTTCGTCGTGGAGCCGTAAAGAAGACCAGCAGCCCTTCTCATCTGCCCCATGACAGCTCTATTGCTCGACACGAGAGATTGGAGCCAATGGTTCTAAAGGAAATAGAGGTGTAAGAAATTCAGGATGGAATCTGGGGTTTGGAGAGTTATGATGATGTTCCAGAAGAAGACGACTTAACTGTATTTGAATAAATGTAGATTATTGTACTGTACTTAAAAAAAATAACACATCCCCTGAAAATAAGCCCTAGAGTGTCTTCTTGAGGAAAAATAAATACAAGACCCTGTCTTATTTTGGGGGAAACATGGTACTTGGCTATTTGTGCAGGAGTTGGTACCCTTTGTATGTGTATTTGGGGCTTAGTCTTCCTTTAACATTGGCTTAAGACAATCCCAGGCCTCTGTTTGCCAGCATTATATATTTTTTTCTGGTGTTATAATTCCTAAGAAATCTGGTGGATTGAGTGTTTCATTTGGGGGACCGCTGCTAAAAAGCCCAAACCAAGAATCTTATGTTTCTTTGATAATTTCCAGGCCAGGGGGCTCTGCTCACAAATCCCAGTTCCTCACCAGTTAAGGGCCTTAGCCTCAGGATATATATGGATGGGGAATAGTGGAGGTGGAGGTGCCTAATGGAAGCCTCTCTCCTCTAATTCATTTTGGAAGGTTAACCCTGCACCTTGTTGCATTCCACAGTTGTCTGTGGATTTTTATTAATATAAAAGGAAAAGCAATTTCATACTTGTCCAGCAGAGGGAGCTCAATGGGAGATACTTTGGAGCAGAGACCTGAGGTTTGGGTGAGTATTTTGTAGTTGTTGGGGTTTGTTTGTTTTTGTTTGTTTGTTATTTTAAAAAGCTCACTTCTCTTACACCAAACGTTGTTCAATCCAAGAAACCATGCTGGTTCTGCCTTCAAAATACCTCTAGGACCAGATCATTTATCTACAGCTCCAGGGCTATTGCTCTGGCCTGAGCCCCTTTCATTTTCTCATCTGATTACTGCAGAAACCTAAGGCCAGCCCTACTTTCACTTCCTTATCATCTCTCCTCAGCTCAGCAGCCGGAGAGATCCTTTTAAGAGATAAGTACAGGATGTGCTCCCTTCGGCAGTACATGAACTAAAATTGGAAGGATACATAGAAGATTAGCATGGCCACTGAAAAAAAGACAGACAGACATCACGTTACTCCTCTGCTCAAAATCCTGCAGTGTCTTCCCGCTTCTCTGAGAGTCCAAGTCCTTAACCACTTCGGTACCAGCGTGGACTATAGTCGACAGCCACAGATGAACGCGCACAGCGACTTTAGCCGACAGCCGTGATATGACTTTTCTAATTTTTCATTTATCAAAATAAAATTGTGAACATTTAAAATAACATAATGAAAACATATATGTATATGTTACCTATTCTGATTTACATTATGAATAAAGCTGCCTGTAAAGTAAAACAAGCTTTCAGTGCTTTAAAGCTTTCTTCATCACACAAGAGCAAAACGGATTCGTTGTGATGCACAGCACACACTGTCGCGCGGACCGTGAGCGCCAGCCGTGGCGAGGCTTCGCGGTGAGCGCCGGACCGAAGTGGTTAAACCCTACACCACTTGGTGCCCCGCTACCTCTCTGACCTCCTCTCTTTCAACTGTCCAGCTCCACTGGCCTTTTGGCTGTGGCTTGAACACCCCAGGCTTGTTCTTGCTCGTCCCCTTTACATCCACGGGGCTCACTACCTGGTTTCTTTCTTGTCTTGCTCAAATCTTGCCTGTTCCATGAGGCCTGCCCGACCCCCCTATTTAAAATCGCGTCTTCCCGGCTCTCCCTGAACTTCTTACCCTGCTTTATTATATCCTCCAGGGTACTTGACACCTCCTAACTCTCACTCTAACTATAACAAACAAATGCAATCATGTGTTATGTTTACCATTTATCATCTTCATCTCTTCTACAGTCTCAGCTCCTCCAGGGCAGGGATCTTTGACTGTTTTGTTCACTATGCTTAGAACAGTGTCTGGCATGGAGCCGGCGCTCGCTCAGTAAATACCTGTTGAGTGACTGAATCAATACCTTCATTGCAACAGCTGAGATCTGACGGTTTTCTAATCAATACTATCACTTCAGTCTTGTGTGTGGAGGAGGTATGGAGAATCAAAGCCTCTGGACCCACCATTTAGCATGATGAGAGCCTAATTTCTTGATCAGGACTGTGACAATCTCAATTGCATAGCTCTTGGATGTACTACCTTTTGTCAGCTGGACCAGTGCTGGTTAACAGCCTGTCTCTGCCTGCACCTTATACTCTGTTTTGATATAAAATCACCCAAAGCCTTGGTCTCAGTGGACACATGGACTGAACGCCATAAGACATCAGGGAAGAGCTTAACTAACTGCTGCACTGTCACAGAGCAAGGACCGCCAGCTGCCCTTATTGTCACACACTCCTCCCTCGCACACCTCTCCCTGGCTCAGCCAAGTCCACAGTTTCCTTCAAGGTTCATTATATGAACTCTACTCTAGCTGCTGATTTCTGTGTCCTTCAGGGCTCTTTGGTTGTACGTAACAGAATCTAAGACAAGTTTAGCTTATTTAAAAATAAATAAACTAGGCTGTGCGCAGGGGCTCATACCTGTAATCCCAGTGTGCCGGGAGGCTGAGGCAAGAGGATCTCTTGAGCCTAGAAGTTCGAGACCAGCCTTGACAGCATAGCGAAGCGAGACCCCATCTTTACAAAAAATTTAAAAGTCTGCCAGGTGTGGTGGTGCTCGCCTGTGTAGTCCCAGCTACTAGAGAGGCTGAGGCAGGAGGATCTCTTAAGCCCAGGAGTTTGAGGTTGCTGTGAGCTATGATGATGCCACTGCACTTCAGCTTGGGTGACAGAGCAAGACCCTGTATCCAAAAAAAAAAAGGGAATCATGGGGAACTTGCTAACATTTATTGAACTTCTATGTGCCAGGCATCGAGTTGTTTTTTCCATGCTTTACCTCATTTAATCCTCAAACAACCTTGATATGTGGGTGCTACCATTATATTCCCCTTGGAGGATGTGTCATTGAGGGACTTACTCAAAGCCTTGAAGCAAGTTGACAGTGAAGCCAGGATTCCTGCCCAGGCAGGAAAGTCGAGGCTGAGTAGGGGATGGTCAGGGAGGCAGGAGCACAGAGGACAGAGGTGTTCTGGAAGCCCTCCCAACTCTTCCGTGTGCTCTGCTCCTTCGTCCCAGCCCTGCTTCCGCCAGAAAGCCCCCACCTCCTCAGCACTGCTGCCTTCAGCTGAGACAGCTGCTGCGCCTCAGTGTCTGCTGTCCGAGTCCTGTGTCTGCCTCACTCCCCCGGCACTGGGACTCTGTGTGGCTGGATCGGGCCTCTTGTTTGGTACAGAGTTCTGGCCAGAGCAACACGTCCTGTGCCTTTTTTTGTTTTGTTTTTGGTGTTTTTGAAGTTTATTTGGGCAGGGCTGGAGGGCCCTGCACCTAGAAGGTGTCGGGCCTCTTGGTGGTGACGCGTGGCTTGAGCTGGCCGAGCAGGATCCGGTAGGATCCAACTTGATCTTGGAGTCGTGGAACTGCTCGGCTGTGGCCTGCAGCACTTGCTGGCAGCAGTCTCCTCCCCCTTCGTGACCTGGGCCAAGTGGACTCCGGTCCGGGTGCCTGTGCCTGGGTCTGTAGAAAGGGGGAGGGGCAGGGTGACTGCGCAGGCTGGGAACCGGACAAACCTCCACCGACTGCCTGCCCAGTGACCTGGCACAACTTGTCAGGCACAGCAATAGCCTGGGGGCCCCAACTTGGGGCTGACAGGGGGACTAGGTGTCTGAAGCCTCTGGCTCCAGCAAGCACTGACCTCCAAATTCACTTGGAGGGGCATGACAACCGCCCCCAAAAGTGCTGTTGGCACCTCTGTTTAAACCACTGCTATAAGAAACAGCGATTCTTGGGTTTAGGTGCTACATGTCCTGTTTTTTTTTTTTTTCTTTTTTAATAAAGAGACAGGGGTCTGACTGTGTTTTCCAGGCTAGAATGCGGTGGCTACTCACAGGCGCAATTATAGTGCATTAAGGTCTTGAACTCCTGGCCTCGAGTGATTCTTCCGCCTGAGCCTCCCGAGTAGTTGGGACTACAGGTGCACACTATTGTGCCTGACTCATGTTCCCACCATCTGGCTCCACCTGCCTCTCTAGCTGGATCTTGACTGGTGGATAACTACACATGCTCCAGCTTTGCCATACCTCTTACTGGCCCCCAACAAGCCCGCACTTCTACAGTGCTGTTCCCTCTGCCCAGAATGCCTTTCCATCCCGTCACTTCCTGGCAAGCTCTTACACATCCTTCAAGATTCAGTTTGAATGTTACCTTCCCTGTGATGACCTCCCCTGTTGCCCCAGACTCATTCCTTTCTCCTCAGTGGTCCCATGGAACTCAGTGCACACATCTGTTCCAGCAGTCGTCGCGAACTGTAACCATGTGTCTATGTGTTTGCAGCTCTGAGACAATAGGGCGGCCTCCTGCAGGACGGCAATGTGCTCTATGTACCTGGTGCCGGGTATAGGTAGGTATAGGTGCTTAATAAATGTAATAAATGAGTGGTGGGGTTGAGCTCAGCCTGGAAGACTAGGGAGCTCCCCACCTGCACCTTCCTGGAGCAATCCCCAGAGGGCAGTCTCACACCATGCTTGGCTTGCCCAGCCTCTGCCCACGTGCTTTTTCCCCTACCATGGCAGTTCGGAGAGGTGGATAGGTGGATAGATAGGTGAGTGGGTAGTTGGGCGGAGAGATAGAGGGGCCATAGTCCAGCTGGGCTCTGGAGTTGACAAGCTCTGGGACCTGGGATCTAACCAAGCTGACCGAGCACTGGAGGCACTGCTGGCCCATCCCTTAGACACAATGGCTTAGGGCCGAGGGACTATGATTGAAACCTGGAAAAAAGTTAGTGTTTTCAAAATGAAATACAAAATTGCAAAATGTAATTAGATAAAGATTGGAATAGGGGCCTGGCGCAGTGGTTCACATCTGTAATCCTAGCACTCTGGGAGGCCGAGGCAGGTGGATCGCTCAAGGTCAGGAGTTCGAAACCAGCCTGAGCAAGAGCGAGACCCCGTCTTTACTATAAATAGATAGAAAACTAATTGGCCAACTAATATATATAGAAAAAAAATTAGCCAGGCATGGTGGCCCACGCCTGTAGTCCCAGCTACTCGGGAGGCTGAGGCAGTAGGATTGCTTGAGCCCAGGAGTTGGAGGTTGCTGTGAGCTAGGCTGATGCCATGGCACTCTATCCCGGGCAACAGAGTGAGACTCTGTCTCAAAAAAAAAAAAAAAAAAATGATTGGAATAAATGGTTACAAAACAAAATATTAACCAATCAACTGCAACTCAACTTATGTATGGTTTATGTGTAAACTGCATTTCATGTAGGATGTGAGTACATCTTAATATTTGTGACATGACGTGGCCACTCCTAAAGTGTGGAGGGCTCTTGACACCCTTGGAAAGGCCCTTGGAGGGAGCCAGTGGAAGGGAGGATTGAACTGAGCCCCCGACTCCCCAGCAGAGGGCTCCGGGCACTGCTCTTTGTAAACTCAGGCTGAGCTCCAGGCTCTGGAGCCAAGCCAGTGAAGACAGCATTCAGTAGCACAGGCTGCCCCCAACTGCCATTCTTCCTGTCTCTAGGTAGGGTGGGAGAGGGGTGGTATGTCATTCAGTTAAGTTCCCACACGGGAGAGACACCAAATAGGAAGAGGCTCTGGCCCCTGGAGTGGAATGGATGGGAAACAAGGACAGAACCAAAGGTCGCAGAATTCAAGTCAGAATCAGTCAGGGACTCTACAGTGCTGGAGAGGGACCCAGGGAGGCTTCTGGGAAGAGGCAGCATTTTGAGTGACAAGTCAGGTGAGGCAGTGTCTTACGGGCAGTAGGTGGAGTCCTAAAAGAGCAGGAGAGAAGGAAAGGGAAGCCAACAGTATGCCCTCCAAGCCTTGTGCAACTCCTGCATCCCAATTTACACATAGAGGGGCTGAAGTTCAGGGAGTTGATCATAATATAAGAGCCACTTACTGAGCGCTTACTTGGAGTCAGACACTGTGCTCAGCCCTTTATACATATTGTCTCATTTCATCCTCTCAATAACCCTAATGAATAGTTAATGTTATTAAGCTCATTAGGGAAACTGAGGTTCTGAGAGGTTACATAAGTTGTTGAAGGTCAGGATTCAAGGATTGTCTAACTTCAAACCTAAGGCTCTCTCTCTCTCTGTTTTTAGAGCCAGTGTCTCATTCTGTCACCCAGGCTACAGTGCAGTGGCATTATCATAGCTCCCTGTAACCTCAAACTCTTGGGCTCTAGTGATTCTCTGGCCTCAGCCTCCCAAGTAGCTGGAACTGCAGGGATGCACCACCATGCCCAGCTAATTGTTGTACTTTTTGTAGAGATGGGGTCTTGCTGTGTTGCCCAGGCTAGTCTCGAACTCCTTGGCTCAAGTGATCCTGCTGCCTTGGCCTCCCAAAGTGCTAGGATTACAGGTGTGAGCCACCGTGTCCAGCCCCTAATGCTCTCTTAACCACTACATCATACCCTCTTTCAGAGTGGTCTGCCCTATTTCACAGAGTTGTTAATTAAGCAGCAGAGTGGAACGTTTACTGAGTGCTTACAATAAATGTGTCAGACACTGTTCTAAATGCTTTACACGTTTTAATTCATCCAACTGAAGTTGCCATTTTCAAATGGAGAAACTGAGGCCAAGAGTGGTTAAGTAACTCATCTAAGGTCGTCGCCAGAGAAGTCTGGTTCCAGAGTCTGGGCTCTTTACGGTGATGATCTACTAGCCTGCCTGCTCTCTGGAGGGACAAGGTATGGGGCAGTCAAAACCAGGGCCGGTGACAGGACCGGTGGGGTTGAGAATGGGAGGGAGGGTTGCCGTGGCGTGTGAGGGAGATGGAACATGAACCCATCTACAGATGTTCACAGTGTTTTTCTCTGCTGTTTCCTCAGTAGGAATTCAAGGCTGAGTTGATATCAAAACCCCTGACAGCATAATATCTCCCCAACTATCATTTCCCTAAAAGGAATTTTGACAGCTGGGCATGGTGGCACACGCCTATAGTCCCAGTGACTAGGGAGGCTGAGGCAGGAGGACTGCTCAAGCCCAGGAGTTTGGAACCAGCCTGGGCAACCATCACTCCACAGCTAAAAAAAAAGAGAATTTTGTTGAAGTTTTTTTTTTAATTAGCTGATAAAATTCCTTTTCCTCTTGTGACCAGAGCCACTGGTTTGCCAGAATAGAGGCTACCTAGTCTTCTAGCTAGGGTTAGGAACGCCTCTGTTGGGAAGGAGATGAGCAAGACAGCTGAACAGGAGGAACAGCAGGTGTGGACGTGATTAAGTGATGGAAAGGAAAACTTTCATGGCTGTGGTCTCTACTATAAATGTATTCAGGGTCCTTGGGACCAGTCCTAGGTTTCCTAACTCAAAGGGAAATAATAGGGACTGGTTTATGGAAGTAGAATGATCCCATTTGGAGAAAGGAAAGCTGGAAGGGAACACAGAGTATTTGTGATTAAGTGTGTGGGCTCTGAACTTGGACTGCCTGAGTTCAAATCCCAACTCTGTAACTGCATGACCTTGGGTAATTTACTCAAATTCTCTAAGTCTTCATGTCTCATCTGTAAAATGGGGATATTAATAATACCTTTATTGTGGGTTTTTTTTTTTTTTGAGAAAGAGTCTCACTCTGTTGCCCTAGCTAGAGTGCCGTGGCGTCACCCTAGCTCACAGCAACCTCAAACTCCTGGGCTCAAGCGATCCTCCTACCTCAAGCCTCTTGAGTAGCTGGGACTACAGGCATATGCCACCATGCCCGGCTAATTTTCTATTTTTAGTTGCCTGACGAATTTTTTTTTTGTATTTTTTAGTAGAGACGGTGTCTTACTCTTGCTCAGGCTGGTCTCGAACTCCTGACCTTAAGAGATCCTCCTGCCTCGGCCTACCAGGGTACTTGGGTTACAGGTGTGAGCCACTGCGCAGGGCCCTGGAATTGTTAACTATTCATACATTAATGATTACTATTTTGTTGTGGGGGATTAAAATGATCAAAGATAAAGTGTTGGCGGGGCGCCGTGGCTCATGCCTGTAATCCTAGCACTCTGGGAGGCCGAGGCGGGAGGATCGCTCAAGGTCAGGAGTTTAAAACCAGCCTGAGCAAGAGGGAGACCCCGACTCTACTAAAAATAGAAAGAAATTCATTGGCCAGCTAAAAATATATAGAAAAAATTAGCCGGGCGTGGTGGCACATGCCTGTAGTTCCAGCTACTGGGGAGGCTGAGGCAGAAGGATCGCTTGAGCCCAGGAGTTTGAGGTTGCTGTGAGCTAGGCTGACGCCACAGCACTCTAGTCCAGGCTACAGAGTGAGACTCTGTCTCAAATAAAAAAGAAAGAAAGATAAAGTGCTTCACACAGTGTTTACAAGTGCTCAATGCCTATTACTTTATCCAAATAAGAGGGAGATACTACACTTAAAATTTTAAGAGGTTAGATCTCATAGTAAGTGTTCTTACCATAATAAAAAAAGTTCACTCAGAAAAAAATGATATAGTTGGGCACGGGTGGTTCACGCCTGTAATCCTAGCACTCTGGGAGGGTGAGGCAGGCAGATCCTTTGAGCTCAGGAGTTCAAGACCAGCCTGAGCAAGAGGGAGACCCCGTCTCTACCAAAAATAGAAAAATTAGCCGGGCATAGTGGCGCATGCCTATAGTCCCAGCTACTCGGGAGGCTGAGGCAGGAGGATCGCTTGAGCCCAGGAGTTTAAGGTTGCTGTGAGCTAGACAGACACTACAGCACTCTAGCTGGGGCAACAGAGTGAGACTCTGTCTCAAGAAAAGAAAAAAACCATAAAGGAAATGGAAATATTATATAACAGATGTGGAACAACAGCAAAACTAATTCCATCACTCAGGATGTATTAACAGGGACTAAAGTTGGCTATAGGAGGAATTTCCCAACAATAAAGGGTGTGAAGCTCTGAGCAGATTGTAAAAGCTTCTTTTCAGTTTTTCCTCAAGAGAGGTTTTTATCTCAGGGGTGGTCATTTCTGGAGGCAGGAGCCTGGACGAGATGCTCTGCTCATGGGCAGGTCCGTTGGCTTCCTGAATCATAGCAGTCGATAAACACCTTCAGATGCTGTCTGGCGTTGCCAGGAGTTTATAACCGGGAGGTGAGTGCCTACCTGTCCAAGATCCTCATTTATAGTTGTTTCTTGGACCTGAGTTAATTTCTGTTTTAAAGGTAACTCCTGGGGCCCTGACCCAAATCTCCCAACTGCTTACCATTAACACTTGCTTCTCTTTGGCTGAGCGGGAGCTGAACTGCAGAAACTCCCATAAGGAAGGAGGGAAGGAAGGAAGAGAGGGAGGGAGGGAGGTGCACTTGGGTGAAGCAGTAGGATGGGTTCCCCCACAATGGGGGATGGTCCGGCTGGTCCCTAGGACCTCTTTCGGGGGATTTGTCCTGGCCTGAAGATAAGCTGCATGGCCAGGCTACCAGCAAAGTGTTACTGAGAGTCAGCTGAAGGGATAGCAAGTAGTGAGCGAGGCTCTGGCCTGGCAATTCTTATCTTTGGGAAAGTTTGAGTCACTGTCACTTGCTGGGAATTTCCTGGACTGTGAACTTTATTGCAGAGAGGATAGCAATGCTGGGTGGGAGGAAGTTAGCCTTGGGCTCCACACTCACCCCTCCCACTCAGTGGCAGCTGGGTTTGCTGTTTCCCCAAACAGTTTGGTGTTAAAAACCCAAACCCTGGTCCAGCCTGGCCTCCTGCAGCTGTGCAACCTTTGTCAGGTCCTTACCCTCACTCAGTCTCGGCTCCCTCGTCTATGAAAGGGTTAATCACGGCACTTACTTAGAGTAAGCACTCAACACATGTTGGGTTTGAATAGTATAATAAATGAGGAATCTTGAGGCAGAGATTTGCACTGAAGGAAAGGAACAGAGAACAGAGCCTGTCCCTGTTCTTGGGAGCCGATTAGAGTAACAAGACAGGCACATTTCTAACGAAATGCACTTGGTCGCCTTGTCTAGCCAACAGTGAGGAGCAAAAGCACCAATTTTAAAAACAATTTCTAGTTATCCCTTGCATATATTTTGCCACATTATTTGCACTGGTTTTCTCTTCCAGGTCTATTTTGGGATGTTATTCAAATGAATGTGTGTCCCCAGGGCTCCTGCTGGCTGTCAGCAGGAAGCAGCAGTCAGGAAGCAAAGGTGGGGAGCAGGACACGGGGTCAGAACATGTTCTGGGTCCACTGGCAGGCAAGGATCACGGAATTCAATGGGAAGTCACAGCGTTTACCAGGCCCCTGTGTGTTCAGGAGCCAGGGAAGGCTTCCAGGCAGAAGGGCTTTCTCCCTGTATATGAGGGAGATTATCGGCTCAGGTAAAGATTAGAGGGTTTACAGAAGGTAAAAAGATAAGCACCAAGCAGCATCAAGGTAGAGAAAGCCCCGGGGAGCTCACAGAGATTCTTTTTGGAGAAAAGACCAAGAGGGGTCACAGGTGGCAGGGCAGAGAACAACATCCCAGGAAGCAGATGTTGAAGATGGATTAGACCCTGACAACGGATGTGAAATATTGACCCAGTGAAAAGTGCCTGGTGTTTGCACAGCCCAAACCGGTGCAGCTGCTTCAGTGGGAGGAGGTGCCAGAAGGTGCCTGGGTCCAGAGGTCACCCACCGTGTTCCCACATGCTTTCCCAGGGCCAGCACTCAGTCTCCCTAACTGGAGTCAGATCCTTGGATTTAAAGAAGGATGCCTGTGTTGGAAATCAAGGCAGGCATGCACACATATATTCCTTTTTGTTTGAAAGCTCACCTATACATAGAAACAACTGGATAGAAATGCTAGTGATTGTATTTAGTTGATGTAACTGTACTTGATTTTAATTTTCTACTTTATGCATTTCAAGTGTTTTTTTTTGTTTTGTTTTGTTTTTTTTTTGAGACAGAGTCTCGCTTGTTGCCCAGGCTAGAGTGAGTGCCATGGCGTCAGCCTAGCTCACAGCAACCTCAAACTCCTGGGCTCAAGTGATGCTCCTGCCTCAGACTCCCAAGAAGCTGGGAATACAGGCTTGCACCACCATGCCTGGCTAATTTTTTTCTGTTTTTAGTAGAGATGGGGTCTGGATCTTACTCAGGCTGGTTTCGAACTCCTGACCTCTAGCAATCCGCCCACCTCAGCCTCCCAGAGTGCTAGGATTACAGGCGTGAGCCACCGCGCCCGGCTTCAAGGGTTCTTTAATGGGAATATATTTTTCAAAAGAAAACAAGCTTATCTGCAAGTTAGCATTAAGCTCCTAAAATCAAAGGTTTCTTTTCAGCCCTACCCTATTAGTATGACTTTACTGGACTCATTTTCTGAGTCTATGTTCTTTTTGTTTTTAGACAGAGTCTCCCTCTGTCTTCCGGGCTAGAGTGCCGTGGCATCAGCCTAGCTCACAGCAACCTCAAACTCCTGGGCTCAAGTGATGCTCCTGCCTCAGACTCCCAAGAAGCTGGGAATACAGGCTTGCACCACCATGCCTGGCTAATTTTTTTCTGTTTTTAGTAGAGATGGGGTCTGGATCTTTCTCAGGCTGGTCTTGAACGCCTGAGCTCAAGTGATCCTCCTGACCCTGCCTCGCAGAGTGCTAGGATTACAGGCATGAGCCACCATGCCCAGACACTGAGCCTGTTTTCTTGCTTGGCTTTCAGGCTGCTATTTTTCTCCTGGATTTTCTTCCTTTCTTGGACAACTTCTGGACCCTGCCCAACCCCCAAGACTGGTGCTATTCAGGCTCTGTCCTCAGCCCACCCTACCTGCTTTCTCCAGGTTAGCACATCCACTCCTCTGGCTTCAGCTATACCATCCCTGCCAGGAAGAACTTTCAGCTCCAACCCAGCTCTTTGCTGAAACATTTATGTCACTGCCTACTGACTATCCTGACAAGCCCCTCAAATTCAACATGCTTGAAACTTGAACCTCCTTCTTTCAGGACTCCCTTTCCTTCTCTGTTGTCTATCTTGGTTGCCTGGGTCAGAATCCTAGTAATCAACTGTCCTCTCCTACCTTGCTAGAGTGGGTTGAATGTGGTGGCCCCTCGAAAGAGATCTCCAGAACTTGTGATTATTTTATTATATTGTATTTATTATATGGAATAATTATATTATATAATTGATATTATACTCTTTATATGGCTAAAGAGTTTTATTGCTTTATATGACAAAAGATGTGATTAAGTTAAGGATCTTGGGAGATAAAGCTTATCCTGGATCATCCAGGCAGTCCCTAAATCCAGTGACAGGTGTCCTTACAAGAGATACTCACAGAGAACACACACCAAGAAGAGGCAGGCATTGCAACCGTGGAAGCAGACTTTGGAGTGATGCCACAAGTCAAGGAATACCAACAGCCACTGAGAGAACGAACTGTCCCCTAAAATCTTGGGATAGAGCCTCTTCTCTGACTGTGCCCCACCAGAAACACTATACCAGCGCTCCTCCAACTGTTTAAACAAGGGCCAGTTCACTGTCCCTCAGACTGTTGGAGGGCTGGACTATAGTTTTAAAAAAACTATGAACAAATTCCTATGCACACTGTACATATCTTATTTTGAAGTAAAAAAACAAACAGGCAAAAATATCGGCATGTGGCCCTTGGGCTGTAGTTTGAGGACGTCTGCACTACGCTCTCACCTCACACAGATGGTTGTAATTCCCTCATCTCAACATGTTCTTTGAAGCTGTTCTTTTTTAAAAAAAATAAAAAATTAAAAGTTTTGAAATAATGGTAGATTCACGTGCAGTTGTAAGAAACAGTACAGAGAGATCCCCTTGTTAGCTCAAATGAGCTTGTTAGATGTGACTCAACTAGATTGTGTTCTCTTTCAGAACAGAAACTGATTATCTATATTCTAGAATTTTCGTTTAAAAGTCCTTTGCATTCTGGGCCTGTTTCTCTTTCCTCATTTATCCCTCTCCCTGCAGAGAACCTCAACCTCAGACAGAATACACGATGTCTGTCTGCCATGTTGGTCCTTCTGCGTCTTCCAAAGGGCTTTGAAAACACCTTAATTAACATTGAGGTCCCATGGCCCTTATGTCCTTAATTTGCAGGATGACTTTCCTTATCTTTTTATCCTTAAATTGCTTTTATGGGTGTTTTTCTACTTTTCCCCATCAGATCCAGAGATGCCTGAAACCTGAGACCCCCCCCCCCCCCCCCCCCCCCCCCCCCCCCCCCGCTGCAGTTTGGGAGTTCCCTGGGAACAGAGAGAATGTCTTCATTAATCTTGTAGATCCTCAGAACTTGTCTTCTACTTTTAAATCCTGGTCTGATACTAGCTCTGCACACTGTGGGTGCTCAATAAATGTTGATTGACTGCGTAAACAATAAACTTTAGTCCCCCAGAGTGTCATATTCTTTCTTTCCGCAGGGAGAAAGTAATAACATTAGGCAGAGCAGGCTGGATCTCTTAATGTGATTACCTGGGATTTGTGAGCCAGCGACTCTTTCCCCCAACTTTATTGGTTACATCCATCTCCACGGAATAGATATTACCAAACAGAGACTACTAATGCTGCTGGCCAAATGGTGGGCTACCACTAATTGCTCTGACTCTGTTATCTTGATTCTATTACAACAGAGGGTGCTGTGTCCAGCCCAAGATACGGGGAGAGGTGAATGCGGCTGTGGTTGTACCCAAACAAGTGTAATCTACTGAAGTTCAACAGTGTTGAACTTACTCTGTATTTGTATTTAAGACATCCTCCATGAGCCAATGCATGACTATAGTAAATTTTTTTTTTTTTTGAGAAAGAGTCTCACTCTGTTGCCAGGACTGTAGTGCTGTGGTGTCAGCCTAGCTCACAGCAACCTCAAACTCCTGGGCTCAAGCGATCCTCCTGTCTCAGCCTACAGGCATGTGCTACCAGGCGCAGCTAATTTTTTCTATATATTTTTAGTTGGCCAATTAATTTGCTTCTATTTTCAGTAGAGACGGGTCTCGCTCTTGCTCAGGCTGGTTTCGAACTCCTGACCTTGAGCAATCCGACCGCCTCAGCCTCCCAGAGTGCTAGGATTATAGGTGTAAGCCATTGCGCCTGGCCATAAATTATTATTATTATTATTTTACTTGAGACAGGGTCTTGCTTTGTTGCCCAGGCTAGAGTGAGTGCCGTGGGGTCAGCCTAGCTCACAGCAACCTCACACTCCTGGGCTCAAGCAATCCTCCTGCCTCAGCCTCCCAAGTAGCTGGGACTACAGGCATGCGCCACCATGCCCGGCTAATTTTTTCTGTATATATTAGTTGGCCAATTAATTTCTTTCTATTTATAGTAGACATGGGATCTCGCTCTTGCTCTGGCTGGTTTCGAACTCCTGACCTCAAGCAGTCCACCCGCCTCGGCCTCCCAGAGTGCTAGATTACAGGCGTGAACCACCGCGCCCGGCCCGTAAAATATTTTTTCACCTTTTAAAAATATGACAAATTGAGATATAATTCACATTGCATAAAGTACATGATTCAATGGCTTTTCGTACATTAGAGTTGTACAACCATCTCCACAATCAATTTTATAACATTTTCTTACCCTTCAAAAGAAACTCTATACCTACTACCAGTCACTCCCCATCCCTTCTAACCCCCAGCCCTAGGAAACCACTAATCTATTTTGTTTCTATAGATTTGCCTATTCTGGACATTTTATATAAATGGAATCATACAATATGTGATCTTTTTGTAACTGGCCTCTTTCACTTAGCATGTTTTCAAGTTCATCCATATAGTCACATGTATCAGTACTTCATTCTTATTCACAAAATATCCCATTATATGAATATACCATATTTTATTTATGCATTCATCAGCTGATGGACATTTGGGTTGTTGCCACTTTTAGCAAGTTATTTCTGCATGTTTCAACTTATTCTTCTATAAAAATGACAGTGAATAGCTGCTTTTCTCAGAGGATTATGGGAGACACATAGGGAACATATGAAATACATTCTAAACCATAAAGCACTACAGGACTGTGAAGACATTTTAATATTTATATAACATTATATAAATATTATGATCCCAAGGGCCAGCCTAACTTCCCTGAGCTTATGTCCTATTGTTGGCTAACTCAGGGCAATTAGGTATCTCCCTGGTCTCAACTCTACATAGTCCATTCTGCTTTTTTTCTAGGTAATAGACTGCATCTCAGCCCTGGCCTATCATCTCATCCACATTTGTTGCTAGGAGACCAGGTTAGAATATACTTAGCTCAGTGCAATCCACTGCCATTGTATAGAATCACTCAAATCACAGCAGAGTGATATTCGAACATTAAGGCAGTCACATTTCATATCGATTTTTAACAAGACCAAGGAAAAGGGCTGAAGCTATAGGTGTGTTAAGGGCCTAGGTTTACCAAATATCTTGCCAACTCTCTTTTTTTAAATTTTAGGTTAGCATTCTTTCATACTCATGTGCGCCAGGGTGACTTCCTCCCCTCCAGCTATCATGTAAGTTTGCTAAGATAATGCAAAAATATTTTAATATTAGACCACAAGAAATTGAATTAGGAAGGAAAACCTGTTGCCATATTAAGTACAAAAATTTAAAAATCCAATTTAGATATAAATACTATTTGCTCCCATAACTTCCTGCTATTTTTTGCAGGTATTGCACAGCTATAAAATGTGTGGGTGCAAGGGGGATGGAGGGAGAAGTCCAGGGTGGGCAGTGGATTATATAAGAATGATTGTTTCTTTTACCACTAGTGGTTGCCTGAACATAACTTCCCCCTTTAAAGCCTTGGTAAGAGCAGCTGGGGATAATGAACAGTGGTTAAAGATGCTTTGTTTTACATTCAGCAAAAAGGATCATTAACACCTCAACTGTTTTTTTTACCAAGCTTGTGGAAGGGCTCCTGCTGCTGTTGACAATCATGGTAACCCTCAGGGCAGCAAGGGCAGAGGGGTGTGTAATTCACCAGAAAATGGTATTCACTGATTTGGATTATGTGCACCACTGCTCCTCTCCATTCACGTGCTTAATTAAGAGCTGACAAGTACAAAATAAATGAAACTGCAATTCTTCACTGGAATTATCTGGGGAGCAAGAGAAATTCTGCCAGGAGGGTGCATGCCAGAAAAACTCCTTTATTACCATCTCCCTATTATATTTCCATTCTAGAGTCAGTGTTAATGCCACATCTCATTCTCAGGGGGGCAAAAGGCTTGAGTCCAAGAGACATCTTATTACAATGGTTATACAGGAGAAGGAGTAGTACAGTTTCATCTTCATTTTATCAAGGGTGAAATCAAAGCAAGGGACTGTGACAAGGACAATAGAGTAGGGCATAACTGGCAATCATATCAGGGAAAACTGTAGTAGGAACTGGCTCAACCTTAACCATGACATCATATTTCACATCATTCAAAAGTTTCTGTAAAAGTCTCTAGTGACCAGCTGGTAGACTGTCTAGGAGTCATTCCCATTTGTTCAGTCCCTGAGGGGAAAGCAAATGGAATTGCTTTCTTACAGTTCAATTAGGCAAATCTGGATGGAGGGCATTGAACTTAGTTAACAAAGGGTGCCAAAATCAACACTGCTCCTTTTCAAAATATGCATGGAAAGTTAGAGCAAGAAGTCAGGGCCCCAGGGTTCTCAAACTAATGCTTCATCACCTTTCTCCCCACCTCAAGATAACGGCCAGGACACTTTTCTTGAACAGGTAAGACAGGTAAAGCGAAATCATTGGTGAGGCCTGCCATTCTCACAGTCCTTTTGATCACACTTTCCCCATAATCTTTGTCCTTTTTTTTTTTTTTTTTTTTTGAGAAGGCAGATTAAGAGAAATCTCCTGAGTCCCAGGGTAATTGCAGATTTCTTGTGAGTTCTAGGTCTGACATATACTCATGTCAAAACCTACTACAACACTAACCAACTAACCATACAACACTGTATTCATAACATAACCTCATACACACACCACCCACAGAACCAGATCTGATAGCCTTGCGGCAAGACGCTGACTACCTGATACTG